TCTCTCCTTAGCAGACTGCATTGCATGAAAAAATAGTTCACAACATGATGTATTTTACTATTCTGAGAATTACTGAATTTCACCAATGGGGTATGTCTATAAAAAAGAGAAAAGAAGATGAAGCTGAATAGAGAAGTCAAAGACCTTTTTATTTATGCTCTCATTTCCCATATACTTAAAGGGTTCCATATAAAGGGGAAAACATTTACTATAATAAAAAACTATTTGGTCTAGAATCAAACCTAAAATTCAATCAGAGTAATTTTTCTGCAAAGTTTATTTTATAAAGATGAGTATATAAATAACAAATAAATTCATTGATATTCAAAAAATTTTTATGTTAGGTTTTATGATAATGAGGTCAGTTTACTTTCAACTCAATAGCTAGGCCATTTAATTTTTTTTAATATAACTGAGATATTATAAAACCAAATTTTCTTCTGAATCATCAAAAATTAAGTTACATAATTATGAGCTGTATACTTTTAACAGGTATGCATGTATGTTTGTGTTGTTGGTTATGTAAAGTGTTAATATATGTATGGTAGGTATTATCATAAAAGATTCATCTTGCTGCTCTCAGTGTATTTCACTTTCCCTCTCCTCTCATTTTTATCTCGAGGACAATTTAACTTTCCCAGCCCACCCTGAAGAGGGAGACAAAAAGGATTAGAAGAATATAAGGGCAAGATTTTTCCCCTTAAGGACCGAAGACGAGGTCTGAATAAAGGGGAAGAGATAACTGGATTGGAGGGATGAGAAGTCTTCCAAGCAGGAAGGGGAATGAGAACGAAAATTTCCATCATGAGGACCAGGAGAAGAACAGAGGGACTCAGAGGATAAGTTATCTTCAAGCGTACTTCCTTCCACTAGCTCATCATCTGGTAAATGTCACCATTCAGCAGCTGGGGACTCTTCTAAGCGATGAGGAAAAGAGCTTCACTAGGGACTTTCGATACTTTGAGTAGAGATGAGGACTTGAAATAACTTTGTCCCCGCACTGAGGTGGAGCTGAGCAGGAACTGGAAAATTTTTCTATGAGCTTGGTAGCAAAGGACCTACCACCAATGCTACAAATGTATACTATGCACAGTGTTTCTCCAGAAGCCAAAATTTACAAGAACCAAAAAAAACCAAAAAATTATATCAATAGTATCTACCACCTAATGGCTCATTTTCTAGGAAGAACATCAGGAGAGTGACATAAATTTCCAAAATGAAAATGTACTTCAATTTATAAATATGTAGGTTCATATAAATATGTAAATAATGCATAAATAAGTCAATAAATATGTGAATTATAATGAGATACAATTCAAAATGGAAAAGACATATATACAACTACAATTTGAGGGCTTGAAGCACCCTCATGAATATTCAACATAAGAATGACAAAGGAGGTACCTAAACAAAATCTTCTCTTCCCTACTACACGTGCCCCTTACTACAGCAACCTGAAGAGACATTTGTCATCTGAGAAATCCATTTGTATAAAAACCTAATGCTTTCAAATTGACTCCCAGTTAATTGCTATCTTGCTTCTGAACTATTTTCACCAGCAACTGAGAGACAAAAGTCATTGACCTTATCATTAATTTTCTGCAGGGAGAAGTATAATTTCACCATTTACTAAAAGCAATCATTTTCTGCAGTGAATCCTTAAA